AGGCGGGAACATGTCGTTACTTCACTGTCCCTCAGTGATTGAAATAATGTCAATATTTCACTTACCATGTCTTTGTAAAGATTCGTGATGTTTCGCATACTTTTATTCCAAACAAATGCATCCTTCATAGAATAATAATACGGATAATTTAAGGTGGCATCCAAAGGTGGTATATAATACTCTATTTTGTCCAAATCACTGCTGTAGACTTCGCCGACTTCGTAGATGTCTGCAGCGCCTACAAAGTGTTCCCAGAACCATTTAGGAACCTAGGAAAAAATAAAATCAAAATTTGGCTGAGTAAATGAAGTTTCGATAATCATGAATAGTGAGCGCTGGGGCGCACTTGTGGGGATATGTTCAATGAATGCCATTTCTGGCGGTCCAGTGAAATCATATTCAGCTGTTGGAAGACGCGCGCATACTCACGTGTGTGACTGTGTCGATTCTGATACCGTCTATATCAAATTTGGTAAGGAATGTATCGATCCAGTTACACAGTTGCTCATCAACGTACGGATGCTCTTGTGCCAAATCCGGAAGATTGAACAGCCAACAGTTTTCAACCTGTGGACAATGAGTACAATTTAGAAAAGTCCCGTCAACTTTGAAATTATTCAAATAGAAAATATTATTTGTCGGTTTCCTGATAGCAGAAACACAGTAAATCAAATAAATAAATAAATAAATAACTGACCTGCCAATCGTTATTCCAATCAGTTATCTCACAGTAATCGTGGTAATGTTCTTGTAAATCAAAAGGTACGTACGTTGAGGCGTCTCCTATACCCATGTGATTGGCTACCCTAAAAACAAGGTAACAAATCATAGTTCATATGAGGGCGCACTCACATTTTTACTGGTATTATAGCATTACATGTATTTCGTCTATGAATCTGTAATATTACGTGTTCCATTAATTTCACAAGAGCCGAGGACATGATGCAAATATGGTGAACGAAAGATCAACCGAGATCGAGGCCAATAATTAAAATTACCCCAGGAATATTTTGAGAACCACCCAAATTTCTACATAGTTGGATGGATTAATTTTAGTAGCGCCATTTTATCAGAGAAAAAAAACACCACCCCCACCATCGAGAATGCCATGTCCTTTATTTTACTCACACATCGGCCATGATCCATATATCTTTAGCGTGAGCTGCTTCTATCAAATCGTGGAGATCCTGATCTGTTCCCCATGCCAACTGACTTTATACAAGTTGATAGGAGAGTAACCATGGTAATCTCCCTCGGTGTGTTCTGGGACTGGCGAAATCCAGATGGCATTGAAACCCATGCCTGTATAAAAACAATTAAGATTGCCTATCAATATATGTGTGTAGGGTAAGAAATTATTATAACATCCTTATATTGCCCTGGAATACAATATTTTGCCAAATGAATGTAATCTGGGTATTTTCAGTTATGCGTACGTTTGCTGTGAATGTACTTGAAAAACACATTAGATTACCTTTTATATAATCCAGCTGTTCAATGATTCCTTGGTAGTTACCTCCACAGTATCCTCTCAGGTCGCCACATTCCTGCCATAATGCTGACCCCGGGGACAAGTTTTTGGTATTTGCCACTATTTTGGTACCGTGTCAATACTGAGCGGCCTAGGAGGTGGCAGTAAAGCCTATTGAACACTACTAATGAACAAGCGGACAATAACTACTG